TTGATTTCCTGCCATTTTACTTTTTTAAATCTGCCTACAGATTGGCGCCGCGCAGATATCGCGCGGAGTTCGATTTTTGATAAAAAAAAACAAATAGTGCGGAATATAATTTCACTACTTGCGTTTATAATGTACGCGTGTTTTATAAGTTTTATATATCGAAACCGAAGAAATTAGATCCACTTTACGAGAAAGTCTGTAAATGAAGTTAAAACGCTACCAATCTATAAGTCAGTACCATATAGCGTACTAAGGCAAGAAAAACACAAAATCCCTGATGCTTACCATCAGGTGAGAGTTAGCTTTTATGCCATCCAAGTTACATTTATCAATGTTACATCTCCTCAGTTTACATAGCTTTTTTTATGTTTTATTATCTTATGGGGTTGATATCTAATTATGTTAATTTTTTTAGTCATTCGTCCGAAAGTATTATGCAAATGATAGCTGCGAGCAGTCATTAAAGCAGACGCAAATATTCCAACGTCGGATTTGGTTAAAATCAACAGTTCCTTAATACAATGGTAACCCTCTTTTGCTTTTAACCAATGTGTACAATAAGGAATTCCCCAATTCGACTTTATGAAAAAAATAGACAAAAGTTGTCTATTTTTTTATTTATTTTAGACATAATAATGTATAGTGCAGTCTATAACTTTGTATACCAACTAGCTGATCCGCAAAACTTCGTATAGGTATATCACATTTTCCCCGTTTTAGCAACATTTTTCATTGCAGTTCCGGACCTATTGCCCGTAGCGTGGTGTTTAAAGCCTACTTCCTCTTAAGTGGACTGTCCAACACTACACTGTCCTACAATTTTCAAAATCGTTTCAGATGTAGATTACGCAGAACATTCAATGCGAATGTATGAGTTCTGTTTATTACATTTTCAGGATTGTTCCGTTTGTACGGCTGATCTTAATGATTGGAGAGTAGAGACGACTAGTCTTACTGATATTATAAGCCCGAAAGTTTGTAAGTATGCATGGGTAGATGGACGTATGGATGTTTGTTACACTTTTCTTTCACGAAAAAATATCTGAAAGAATATTGATGAAATTTTACAGTAATATAGGTTATATAAACAACAGAATAACAAATTTCACGCAGGTAAAACTTATTTCTTGACATAAGTAAACAAGACAGATAACTAACTTCTAAATAAAAAAATACTTATTTTACATGCAAAGAACCTTTGGTCCGTGTATCAACTCGCGCTTAGCCAGTTGTTTTTATTATTAGATACGTGGATAGGACTTTAGGATATAGGGGAATTTAGTGCGTACCACCCAACGACTTTGTAATCATCTGTATGATAACAGCAGAATGTTATAACAATTGAACTAAATAAAATTGTAAGCTCTTTATTAGATAGCCGATAGATATGGCTTTAATTGATTAATTATCTAGTGTTAGATAGCATAACTTTTTGTTATTTATTTATATCATATAATAGTAATAGACGGCCGCGGTGGTCTAGTGGTTTAGCACACCGTTTTACTTCAGACGGTCGCGGGTTCGATTTCTCGGACGGTACAAATATTTGTATTTATGAGTATGATTGTTGTATCGGTTCGAGTGTATCCTATGTACAATATGTATGTATTTGAAAAAAAATCTAAGTATATCGGTTTGTCTTGTACCCATAATTAAATCTGTTTAGCCTGGGATCACATGGCTCTGTGTGTATTGTTCAAGGTTATTATGTAATATTATTATAATGTTAGTAGCAATGTCTCCGTTACTAGGGGGCCATGAGCTATATGATAGCTGGCAGACCCGGCCACGCGTTGCTGTGGCTAAAACAACAAAAAAATATTGCGACTATATATTGAGGTGTAAGCTATCTTTCAAGTTGGATTAAATTGCACACAATGTACAAATCAAATTTGCAATCGGTTCAGTAGTTTAGGAGTCCATCGCGGACAAACAACATGGCACGTAATTTTTATACATAAAGATATAGCGCTAAAGTAATAAAATACTTGAGCTTCGTCCCGACTTTGCTTGTGCGTAATAATCTTCTTCATCGCATTCTGTTATAATAATTTTTAGTGGAAATTAAAATTTCCTTGATTATCAGGTACCTGGGCGACCGACCTTTGTTCGTAAATTATATCCGCTCTGATATGACACGTATCTACATCACGTCGATTAAAATTTACTGGTGGTATAATTTCGTGTATATACTTAACTTACTTAAATTCATATTTGTGTGACTAACTCTCCGGTGACGGCGACACCGATAACAAACAAAAGTTATCCGGGTGACGGTGGTATCCTCTTTTTGTTTATTAAAATTTGAACATTTTCTTACTGAATTCTCTCCCTGCTAAGTAAGTAGGCGATTGGAATAAGACAAACACAAAATTTTACGGGAAACTTACCACAGTTCCCGTAATACATAATGAAAAAAATGGCAAATAAATTGGTTAAGCCGTTTCCGAGATTACCATGTACAAACATACAATCACTGTTTTGGGTTATATTACGTTGATAAAGTCTCCTAATAATAGATTCTCTCATATAACTTCTATGTACAGCATATATATACCTATATACCACTAAACTTTGTTCATTATTTTCAATCTATTTGGAGTCAGAAATATGTAAGACAGAGTTACTAACGCAAAGAGTACTACTATAAGAAACCACGGTGACATAAATTTTATCTTTCTATAATATTAAATAAATAGTTTTCTTATAAATAACCATCTGCATCTTCCATATATGCAATTACAATGCATGAGATCGACTGAGATAGCTCTAATCTGACGAAGTAGCATAGACAGCACTGATAACATAATCATCTTTGTCTGCACTTCAAAATGACGTAAGAAGTCTGATAGGTAAGATTTAGCAAATGAAATGAAGGCATTTTGTCCCACAAATAATATAAACTACTAATTTTGAACAAATTAATAACTGCTTTCAGACTACACATTCTTTCAGGCGCGTTCAGGAGGGGTAAGGGGATTGTTAGTAATGTGGACTGATGACCCCATTGCTGGCAATGTACCATATTAAGTTGTCCTCCACGCGGTTCCCCCTGGAAACCATCGTGACAAATTCCTGGTGAATTTGTCATGATAGGCTAACTGACCTGGTCTCATATTCATCTTATCAATCATCGTAAACCGTTAGCGCAGGCGGGTGTATCATTTCATTATTATAAATAAAAAAAAATACATTTTACTATTTTTTGTGATCACTCGTTCGCGCATATGTTTCAAGTAATATCACTTTCTTTTGCATTGATCATTAATTATTCCAAAAAATCGCTAAAACACTCAAAATCGAAAGACGCGAGAATGTGCGAGTTGTCGCAGTCTTCCTCAATCTCTTTTCCATTTTTAGATACTCATTCATTCCTGCGTGAAAGCCGATTCCCGCGTGAAAGAGCGTGCGTGCGAAGACAGTTAATGGGTAACTTTTATCACAACTGTACATATTTTATAAACGATTGTCTCGGTTAAGAACTCCAGGTATTTCAACGCTGTTATAAACGTCCTGGGCACAGGATATCAAAAGCTCTTTTATAATATTATATCATGGTAAATATCTCCTTTATACAATGTATACAACCATATGATTACATCCTCCTTCATCCTCTTAGCACTGTCCCACTTAAATGCAGGGTTGGCTCTCGTAATGTTGCGGCGCCAGGATAATCTGTTCTGGGTTGTCAGGTAGGCAAGTTTTTCCGTAACGTTAAGCTTACGCATGCTAGTCAACCAGGTGAATGGAGGACGCCCTCTACCTCTTTTACGTTCGGGTAGTCTTAAGGCTTTTTTGACCACATAATCCTCGTCACTTCATACTACATGGCCATACTATATGATTACATCCTATACATTTTAAAAATTATGCTCAGTTTTTGCAAAGCCATTGAGTAATACGTTGGTACACAAAAAAATACTTGTCCTTATTTATCAAAGGAGATCCTTAGGTATATACTGTTTTAAATTTGACGCAATCGTTATTTATACGTATAATTAGGAAAAATATTTTCCCTCCTTTGGTTGTTTGTTAAAAAAATGCTTTATAGATCCCCAACTATACAGGCTTCAGGCAGACGGCATCTCGAATTCCAAAGCAATCTATATATAGGTATTATATATATGTATATGTTATAGATATTCAGAAAAAACTAATATGGGGTGGAGGTGTAAGAAACAGTTCTTTTAGCTTCTGTTGCTTTAATAATGTCACGCATTTGTATACATATCATATCAAGGAAAAGCTATACTATAAAATTTAAGACAATTTTCGCCGATGTATTTTCTATGTATTTATCTAATTGAAAATGTAGGCTATATTTTAGAGTTTGTACTATGTTTTTTTTAATATTACGATGGTGATAACCAAGCATACAGCCCATGATGGTATCCTATGGGTGTCACGTGCGAATTGGTGACCCATATGAAACCTTAGTATACCCTTCTTGAAAAACCTCATGGTATAGTCTCTTGAGAAAACCTCGATATGTAGTTCATTCCACAAACTAAGTGTACGCGCGAGAAAACGCCTCTAAAACCACATGTCCTAGGTGCCAGCGTACGGAGATGAATTCCCTATCGATGGCGAGGAAAGCGATGGTAAGCGTTGTCCTTGTATTTAAATTAATATAGGTAAGTAGTATCAACCTTTGGAAGTGTGTGATTTCGACATCATCGCTAAATACAATTTATTGAACGTAGAATGATTTTTCTCGATAAGATTAGCATTAAACAAGTGATTCCCTGTAGTTTAAGTGCCCCTTTAGTGTTAATTACAATGCTTTCAAGTCACAGATTATACAACATACATTATCTAATCTATCCATAACTAATCCGAGTCCTGTCAAAAACTATATAGAAAACATGCCAAAGTGGCGTCGGATAACGTAAAATAGATTAGAATGTCCATTAAATAAGTAGCTATCAATTACCGTGCTTCATACTGATAATATTTAACATATCGATAAAGTATTCGGCAGTGCCAAATAAGCAGTCAACATGTGCGCGTGTCGGCAAAAAAAATCGTTTTTCATCGAAGACATTCTACAAGATACAACGAAGAACAAAACATACAAGAACTTAAGTAATGAACCGTCGAAACCGCTTCTTTGCAACAGCACTCCTAAAACGGACAACGAGGACAAACAAAGCGATGCAAAACATGAGAACGGTGCCAATGATGAAAAAATCATCAAATTTAACGTTATACGCGAAGTACAACACGAAATGGAGCTGAATAAAGTTAATTTGGAACAGAGAAGGAACACGTACCCATTATACCCTACGCCGATGAAAGCTAACCTTTCGTGGACACGCTACAGAGCGAAGGACCCAGTATCGTACCCTGTACAGCCCCGGCACTCGTTCAGTTATTACAGCGATCCAATGCTTAATTCCGATCAAATCTTGAGAAACCAATTAGCAGCGAATAGATTTGTATCACATCCGTTTACAATACGACAGACTTATGGATATGATAGAGGTGAGAAAAAGAGCATGTTGCAAGAGCAAATATATTTTATTTTAATTATATTACAGCATACTTTTATATGATCGTTCGTGCAATAAACAATATGTATTATTTTGATTATCTGTGGAATTTTATTGAAAAGTATGGCACTACTGTCCAAATATATATTGTAGATTGCGGAACCTGTTCGTATCACAGTATCGCAGTTATCGAATACCATTAAACAAATAAAAAATAACTGATTAAGTTTAGATTACTCAGTGATCTGATAACGTTATAAGTTATACGGAACAATTTATTGATATTTTCACGTATCTAATCAAATTAAATAGTGAAATATGATTATAGTTCGAATTGAAAACTATTTTAAATTAGATATTGTCAAATCACTCTAACTTCTTTATATTTCCTATCCAATATTGTATTTTAAAATCAATACATTACACGAGGATACTGAAATCATACAAAATAATTCGATATCCGATATAAATATAATTAATATTAATATCATCAAAGATTATCTAAATAAATATCGGCATTACGTAGGTTCATATCAGTCCAATGACTTATATTGAATACATTTAGATGCAATGTAGATATCTTTATGAAAATAGACATAAGTTTGCAGATATTGCTGAGATAAGAGGACGCATCTTGGAATTGCTTTGAAATATTTTGACAAAACATTTATATTTTTAAAAACAGTTATATTTTTTACATGAAAATGTGCAATCAAATGCGAATCAATGGGTTGCATATATTAAATTCAAAGGATTCCTTCACATAACAGCAGTGCGAAATCAACATGTTACGTGTTATTTGCTCAGTGTTCTGTATTACAATTTCTATATCATTAATGGTGAAAGTTTTTTGAGCACCCAATTTGTTTTTTATAATTGGGCAGTTTAATTTTTCACGTGCATTGAAATAGTAGACTGTGCAATTCAGTTTCTAATTTAGTAACTTAATTTTACTTGTCAAATATGTATCTATGGGTAAATGTTAAAAAAAAAGAATGTAGAGAGACTCTATATTCTTTCTGCTGTGTATTTTTTAGGTCCGTATAAGTGTACAATAACTCTTATACCGTGTCCCTCTATATAGACGTAGGGTATGATCTATTTGTTTTTTAAAATGTCATTTGAATCCGTACAGTAGCTTTTTCGGAAAGTAGTAGTTTATAAGAATATCATAAACTTTGTTGTAATTGCTTAAAATAAAATTCTATCATTAAAACTAGTTTATAATGAACGTATTGAATGTCAGACCTTCCAGTTGGTCATCTGAAATTGGTGAAAGCCTTTCTAAATTATTCCAGATTGTTTGTTATTAATATAGGACCAATACGGTAAATGTAGGTCGCGCAGGTCGCGAATAAGTTCAGAATTGTTAAAATAAAAATGTCACACCTAGTACAATACTGAATTAAGTAAAAAATTTTAATTATCTAAATTAGACTGTAAAGCCAACCATTAGAGTGGATTTTTCAAGTTTTGTACTTTTTGCGAACCTTTAAGAAGAAATCCATTACTTCATAATACATGTAGGCTAGTTTAGAGGACCCCACCCTCACAAAACTTTATCGAAAAATATTATCAATAATATTTAATCATCACACTAAATGTAATCCTTAATAAAAAGTGGTTAGATAGTAACAATTCAATATATCAATAATTACAATCAGTATAGTTGTTATGATAAAAAATCTGGGACAAGTGCGACTGTATCTAGCTGTGACTGGGTTCCTTATCTTTATGTGTTATAAAAGTACATTTACTTAAAAACATGGTTATATAAATTTCCAAATCCAGACATAACACAGAGAAAAAAAAAATAACACATCATTAAGCTCTGTGGAAGCATTTGCTGCGCCTGCCTAAATAATATTGGTAAAAAAAACGATTTTGTCATATACTAGTAGGTACTCTTGTAAATTCGCAACTTTTTATGACTGCCGGAATTTCATACTTTTTTTATCTTTCTTCCACCAGCGTTAGTACAGGCGGTGTTGTTATCTCATCATATAGTGTAAAATGAAGTCGCTTTCTCAGTCTGTCGCTTAGATTTTATAAACGGATTTTAATGCAGTTTCTAGCAGCGCATACAGTGATTCAAGAGAAAGTTTTATATGTGTAATACATGTACACCCGTAGGAAGCCGGGGTGGGTAGCTAGTGATCTATAAAAAGCTACTTACCTTGCCTGAATTATTACAATTATACATATTGGAAAAGAGAGATCCTAACAAACGATCAAACAAACTATCTATATAATCAACAGAGTGAATTCTGTTCTTATGTTTTCAGTACTGAACTCTAAAAAACGTAATATTGTTAATTTTATTATTTTTAAATAAATAATAGTTATTATTAATACCTACCTACTTATTAATCTTTCGCGGTTTATGACCCTTACTATCTAATACTCTATCTAAGATTTATATATCTTAAAGTAACTCAAATATACAAATATGGGCATCGTGTAAATCTGATACGAATTGTCAAACGTCTTCTATAATCTATCGACAACGATAAAAGGTTTTTAAACGATACTTAATTTGATGATAAAAAAAAGGTGTGGATACGAAACCGTGTCTTATAACAATCGTAGATAGCCTCAAGTGCCTATGTAGTTAATAAATTGATTATAGGTATTATCTCTGTAATACTTCCAAAATTTTCCATCGAACAACATTTTGATAGGTGTTTTGTAATATTTAAAAGTCTACTCTATTAAACTTCGCACCAAACCGCTTGATAAATAGGTACTATAGATCAAAACGCTTACTCAGTAGACAATTTTATAGATACCTAAAATTATACCAACGCAGGTCACGTAACGTCAACATCACAACGTATCTAAAAACAATAACATTACTTAAACACAAATATCGTTGACCCATAAGACAATGGCTATATAGTCTTACTCTCTTTGTCTTTTCCAAAAAATAAAATAAACTAAAATGTTACTGTCATTGAGCAAATAATCACTACGATTAATTACCATGGTATATGAAAACAAAACAGAAGGTATTGCAGCAGTACAAGAGTAAATCCGATGTTAAATAATAATGTTTCACAAAAAAAACTAGCTTCCATCAAAAGAAATAAAAAAAATATGGTATTACCACGGGAACAAAGCTTTTCGATTATAAAAACATTACTCAATGATGTCATTAAAAAATAAATACCTATTTATTTTATGAAAGAGTATGGAACACCACCGTCCTCGTGAAACAATGGCCTTCTCCTCTTTCCTTATATACTTACTAGCTGTACCCGAAATTTATAGCCTGTGTTATTCTTAAGTATAACCTTTATTGTAAAGTTTCATTAAAATACATTCAGTATTTTTTTCGTGAAAGAGTAACAAACCTCGATCCATCCATCGAAACTCAATTAGTTAGATTAATGAATAATTTTCGTTCACAGTACTACCGTCATGCTGTAGTCCCTGGTGGGGATTGGGCGGTAGACGGAAAGGTGGGCAGGTGCGCTTCAGTGCGTCTCAAACTGGGGCATTAGAGCGTAGATTCAACGCCAGCAAATATCTCAGTCCGGACGAGAGAAGAGCACTGGCAGCATCATTAAGACTGAGTGATCGTCAGGTAAATTGACAGAACAATTTAAATAATCCCCCACAACTCATATAGCGCCATTTATTTACAAACATAACAAAACTGGCACAGAGTACCAGTAGGTACTCGTAGATACAAAGGAAAACACAGACCAATACAAACAATAAAAAATAGATGTAAATATTATGTGGTGATCAAACCCGCGATTATTAGAAAGTATGAATGTGTTCTAAACTGCTAAATCACTGCATAGTGCATAGTTCGAAAGAAAAATACAAAACATACGAAGTTTTTCATTACATTAACGTTTTTAGAAAATTAAATTGTATATACCATACGTACATAAAGATTATCTTAAAATATTATATATATTTCTCTCTCCCTTTTGAAGGTGTGTTTATCACTCCTAAACAGCTCCTCGACTTCTAAACAGCTGGACTGAATTAGATGAAATTTTGGGTGCAAATTTAAATGGGTTCTAGATAAAAAATACGATAGGATACGATAAGAGACGCTGTTTTATGAGCAGGACGACGTTTGCGGGTTCTTCTAGTATTATTATATACTTAGTATATATCCATCTGCGTACTTACTCGTTGCAATACTCACATTTTTTTATTCGGTTATAGGTGAAGACATGGTTTCAAAATCGCCGCGCGAAATGGAGAAGAACAGCTCCAGATTCAGCTGATCCGGGCAGTCCGCCGACCGCCGACGAAGACTCTGATGAGGAAATTCAAATAGCTGACGACGAATGAAGATTTATTCTCCATTAGGAATCCCAATGTAATTTAAAAAAAAGATTAACAAACGGCTCGATAAATGACATTGAGAAATATAACTTAAGTTTTGAAAAAATATTTTGTTTTATTAAGGCACTGGAATTTTTATTATTAATTTCTAGGTATATTATTAGGTACTAGAACCAAAAAACCTACAGCCTATGTTACTCGCTAATTATGTAACTTTCGATAAATGGAAAAATAATTTAAATCAGTGAAACTGTCCATTTTATATAATTAAATATTTCTTGTACTAATTATCTGTTATAAACAATCTAGGGCGTGCCCGGCTTTAAATTCAGGTGAAGGTACGGGCATGTCAGTTTTTCTTCTGTCCCAAAAAGTGGGGCAAGTTAAATAACCGTGACTCGAAATAAAATAGTACGAGTTGCGGTTTTTTCAATAGTAAACGCATAATATTCACGTAAATATTAGTGTAGAGAGAAGGGGATTGTCAGACTAGTGGCCCCATTGCTAGCAATAACATCCTGTTGGTCCAACTCCACACAGTCCCCTCTGGAAACCACAGTTAATTAGCGATGAATTCGCTATGATGGGCTACCTGACCTGGTTCATACTGCTCTGGTGCCCCGCCAGCACATATCATTAACGAAGGTGCACGTCACATTTATACCTTAATAAAAGACGGACCGTTCCTAACTTAATATAAATTAAATAACAAATATTAATTCTATATTTCGTCGTCAATGAATTATTTCATTGACCACGAAATAATATACTAAGTAATATCGTTATCGTCATATTCAGTTTAGACTTCATTGGGTACGTTTTCGGTACAAAAATAGCACTGAAATCAGAATTAATTAAACTCCAGAGCAGGCCTGCTGAAAGGAGAAGCAATTAAATCATCTAACAATTTGTTTAGATATACATTTTTGTTTGATGGAAGAAATAAATCTTTACTAGAATAATTTAGATACCTTTCAAATGACGAATCAGCAACCAGTGTCGGAATGGTCCAGTAGGAGCCGGATGACTTACAAGCCTCGAGACTGGATAATGGTAAATCGGATTATATTACTATTGGAAAATAATGATTGCATGAAAAAACTATCTCATCTACTTTATATTTAGATCCCAAAAGCTAGTTAGCGTATTTTTGCTATCCAGGGTAGACATTATAAAAAGGCGAGATTTTACAAGTGTATAATCAGTCTTGTAATATTTCATCCGCCAAGTTTGCATTCAGCTTGCTTTGTAAGCTGTTTCGGTTGTAGTGAAATTACAGGATAAGAGGCATGACATCATCCACTGCAATAGCAACGCATGTGTGGTATCATCGATGTCCCATGATACGTGATGTCTATAGTGCTATTCATGCATATAGGTGACGGTTACCGCTTACTTTCAGCTGAGACGTACAGCTCGTAGCATCATCTTGTTTGCCATTCCAATCACATAAAATAAAACTCATGGAGAACCCGCACTATATGAAGAAACAAAAGTCGAATATGCATAAACCGTTATATATTCTAGTTTGTGATCATAGATTTGTCAGAGACACAGTGAAATTAACACAAAATGTTGAGATTGGATAGTAAAACAATAGACAATCGATAGTCTAATGCTGTTGTTAGTGCCGGCTAGGCTAGTCTAAATGAACATTGCAAAGGTGCTGAGAATATTTGAATCTAACGTTTCTTCTTATACAGACTAAAGCACGGTCATGCTTGCTTGTCAGTATTATTAGCAATAATAAAATAATATCTACACGAATGTTATGTTACATTGTCAGAGGCATTATCAACTGTCGATGTCCTAATGAAAACACTTGACACGCCCACTTTTTGCTGGGTTACGATTCCAATATAATCGTTCTAATCCATCAACGGGAGAGCCTACCGTTGTCGTACGGATTAATTTTGTTATAGAATATTCTTTCACCGGTAAGCCAGCCAGAAATATAATTTAAATTTTTAATTTTAACCACATTTCGGAGGTATGATCCTTTAAGATGTGAGTCGTAGTAGTAAACCACTACGCCACGACACTACAAATTATTTCTACTAACAGATGTTTATAATGATATATAATCATAATGTCATAAATATTATATAATATTGGTCTAATTATTTTTCAAAGAATTTCCTATTCAATTCTAGGTTTATTTTTATAACCGTTAATCTACACTATCAGTTACGATTATTACTTACGAGTATATTCATATAATATAGTACATTTCTTATCTATATAGGACTCAATAATAATAAAGATAATTTAAAAAATAATTTTATTAATAGAAAACAGTGTTCAAGGGAAAACCTCAAAATGAAAACAAACTTTTAACACCATTATAAATTGCAGGACCAAACGTAACATATTTACATTCTTAGGCCTATACACCCAAAAACTAGGAGCAAATTTAATTTTTTTAGGCCTTTCAGTTAAAACGACAGATCACATTAATACACAGATACAGAGCACTAAAAATAGGGGTAACATCAGAGCTTTTGGAACTATTCTAAAACTGTTCGCCGCAGCCAGCCTTTATAGCTTCACCGAACTATGGGGGGCGAGTGCAGATGGCACTCCAAACCCGAGGAAGGCCTTATGGCTCGCCTAAAGAGAACACCGCTAGGGTTCGAACTTGAGCGTCGGGGACCGATCATATATGGATCGAAATAACCGATTTCTTGGTGTGCTCACAGATTGGCGTTTATCGCACCACCACTGCTCTGGTATTGCCCCTCGTTGTAGTGTCACATATAGACTGTCGAATAACAGTAATTTTATCGATTTTGTCCATTGACAAGAAACATTTAAGATCCTGTCTGACTAGTAAACATTTTTTGTCTTGAATAGATATCCCAACAATTATTGTAGTTGTTTGAGCATTATATCAACAACATACAATTATACAGCTATACCCTCGTGTAATTATTTTACACACAGATGTGTTATGTGAACCATTAACTCCAATGATTTTCAAATAGGGGCATTATCTTATAACGCTGTCGCAATAGTTCATCTTAAACAGATTGAAATTTGAAGCCTTGTGATTATAGACTTAAATCCTGGAACCTAAGTGGTCACGGACAGTGTAGTTTCAGAGAAATTTCTTCCCGCGAACACTCATATTACAGAATGAACTACCAGCTGAACTTTTCTCTAGAGCATACAATCATCAAATCATCTTACAAATTATTATATTAATGTTTTCAAGGGTTGACAACGAGCACATAATATGTCTGTTTTTTCTAATGCCTGTAATATATGCTAAGAGTTTACCATAAAATTACCCCGTATGCTTGTGTATCACTATTGTGGTATAAAATATACATACATGTATATGACCCAATTGACAAAGACAGTTACTAACAAGTTTGTATGGCTTGCAACCTACCCATCATCAATCGATTTTCAAAAAATAAGAAATAATTACAAAGCGTTACATATTCATACCCCTGGTGGCTTTTATATCTTTAAATATTTGTATTATTTCATGATCATGGCTTTATTACGTACTATTTATACTAAAGATACCGCACTTGTTCTCATTGTTCCAATTAATTGCGGTTCTGTCGCCACAAAGTGCTGAGTCACTATACGCATTAGTGTAGTCACGTATTTTATTATACAAAAATATTTATCTGCATAAAATAAGAATTGACGCATAAGTTATTATATAAATAAAAAAATTCAAGTTGCAATGGCACAGCACTTTATACTTTTCTCCGATTACGGAGATTCATATTTATACGCAGTGTCACTTGTATAAAGTATCTCAATATCTCATTAAATAAGATAATCAATCATACCAATAAAAAAACGATATAATGCATTGAAATGATTATTCTGTAAACGAGTTATAAATAATTGATATAAATAATACATTTCAACGCCGTAATATCATTTTACTCGATTGAATATTCATTCAACAAAGTGTTATCTAATTTCACGTGGTATATAAATAGTCAATGTCATTTGTGCTTTTATGGTGCTGTAAACAATTTTATATAATTTTCTAAAATATATATCTAAAACATATATGAAATAACATTTTATAAGTAAAAATATATATTTGTTGAACCATGTTACAGTATATTTACAACACATTACATTGAGTTACACAGTTTAAACTTTTGTCTTTTTAATTTAATTGATTTTTACGGATTTGGATACATAAATTGACACATTATATAAATGATATTTGAATATTGCCGCTAGTACCTCAAAATTGATATTATTCTTCTACTTACTAGAATAATAGAATAGCAGTTATTGGTTGAAAGCAAACACTTTCACAGACTGAACTGACTGCTATTTTAAATCACTTATACTTTTTATTATTACCTCATGATTGTTACAAAATATATTCTTTTCTGGTTTGAAATTTGTCGTAGCGTTTACATTAATAACTGAGCATAAATTTAATAACACATTATGGTGCATGGATAATTCTATTGAAATATATTTTTTTGAATCCATGTCATTTTGAATTTGCACACAAAATAAACAAAAAGCATTTGTACTTGAAAAAAGCTAGTTTTATTGTCTAAAATTTACTGTATACATGTCACTCATGTTATAATTTTGTCGATGTGAATGTTATGCGCTTTTCGTTTAAACTACTTGATTTGCATTTAGTTTTTTAATTTGGTATCTATATTTATTTATTTTTAATAGTAATGTGTCAATTGTAGTATTTTTTACGGCAGTGAATGATTGAAGATGCCTTTACCAATTTATCACACAAAATTGATAAGTCTTGGTTGTCACAACATATATTTGGATAACAAAACATCAACAAATTAGAAAAAAAACTGCAAGAAATATTATTACCATAACAGGATTTGCTATAATCCGTCAATAAAATCGTACAATTTCATTACCATCACACTCTCATCGAAAGAGGCCTATTAAACTTGGCAGAATTATAGTAAAAACATTGTAATTTAACTAGTATTGTTATTAAATTATATGATAAAATATTGTCAAAGGCATCTTTTAATAGTTACTATGTTTCAAAAGGTACAATTAAACTTAACAGTTCTGGTTCATTCTGCTTTCCTCAATGCTCCTCTGGCGCGCCACGCTTTAAGTAGATTGTACGAGAAGTACAATTGAAAGAAATGAATTTGCGATCCAAGTAGTACGAACGCATACCACAGCAAGCCGTATGGGTAATCCTGAAAAAAATTAAATCAAGGCTGTTAATACAGATAACAATAATGTTAATAACTCACACAGTAACGGTAATACATAACTGTAATAAATTATGTGGCATTTTAAATAATAATAATGTTAAAAAGTTTTACTTAATTGTAACTATATATTAATTAGCAAGTTTTTTATATTGTACATAAAATAAAGAGAATTCAAGAGACACTATTTCGTAAAACCCCATTGTACATTCCATTGTTCTCCCTGAGGTGCTGTCACTAGCATATAGTGGAATTGTCATCAATTTTGTTTTATATTATACCTATTACTTTGAACATGGTGTTTGGTGAGTTTATCTATAGATATAAATAAAATTGGAGTGTCCATTTGTAATATTGAAATAACCGTTTTTTATTATATGCATATGAATATAAATACGGTAAATACACCAAAATATCATTTTTTACAATTTTTGTCTGTTTGTCTGTTTGTCTGTTTGTCTGTTTGTCTGTTTGTTCCGCCTAATCTCTGAAATGAGGAGTAACTTAGGCTACTTTTATTTTAGAAAAATTTTCTAATTTACTTTTTTGTTGAATTACATGCCGACGAAGTCGCGGGTACTGCTATTACTTATAAAACTGTAATGCTAGTAGCAATAAACAAATAAAGAAAAGTAAACAATTACAGGCTACAGATTGACATTGGCATTTTATACTATTTTATGATTACACTGTAATTATAGAATAAGAATATAAAAAATTTAAACTAACCTGCCATAACTCAATCTCTACTTCAGAGCTGTCATCTTCTTCGTCGTCTCTTGACAAGTATCTCCAAACATCTCCACAATAATACAAGACACAGTACAGTAACGGTCCAAATCCGAGAATACAGATGCCATACATATAACGTCTTAATTGTTTTATATTGTTCCGTTTTATAGCAGAGAGACCTAGGAACGAGAGGAGAAGTGACAGGCACCAAACATACTCCCACCAAACTGGCTGGAAATTATAAATTAAAGTCGTTAAAATTTATATATAAAAAATTCTATATAATAAGGGAATAAAAATTAAATTTCTATATAAAAAGAGAATAAAATTTCTATATAGATAAAAATTGATGTTACATAATTTATAGATGAATTAAGTAACATCAATTTTTATCTATAAGGAATATGATCAAAGTGAGCAATACTTAGTAGTACTCTTTGTTACATCGTTATTGTTGCTGCTGTGACTAGTTCCTGAGTCTATAGAAACGGCTCAGTTTCCTTCTCTGCCACAAAATGCTGTCTCCCGCATAGTGAATCCACGGAATGCTAAGTAGTTTGTCTCTCTGTACATGTGGCAATAACCATTTACCATCAGGTGGAACACAAGTTTGTTTGCCATTACAATTACATAAAAAAGGACTTGTTGGGCTCACCCCTTACCTCAGGTAGGGGTAGTTGAGATAGTAATATAATAATAATAAGGATATTGTTAACACTATTGTTATAAATCTACAGTACATAATAACTACAATGAAAAGTCATATAACTTATTATTTCAGTTATTGACTGTGTTCGTGCCTTAATTATGTTACTATCAATTTTAATTTAAAACAGATTATAATTTACAATATAGCAATTATATATGGACCATTTATGTTGCATTGTAACATGCATCTGCAACAAATAACATTGTTATGTTATGAAGGTCCTATTATTTAAAGTATTTTTTTTAACACAAGTGGTGAAGGTGGGTGTTAATGTACATCGGCAAAAAACCCTGAAACCTATACCCAGGTCAAATATCAAAGTAATTGTATTCCTTCTCTGACATACAATGGACATAATCATGCACTAAATGCTGTTCCAAGGTAAGAATGTAACTAAGAAACTATGTTTAAGTATTATAATATTAAGGATTGTTAAATATATTACCTGTGGTATTTGTAATTCTTCAATTTCTAATATAAAAATATCAAGTTTGTCCAGTATATCAGCAGATAACTTGGCCAGCATCACCAGGAACAGCATATGATGGAAGAATACACAGTATTTCAGTCGGGATTTATTTAAAGCACTGCAAAATAAATATAGTTGTGTAAACAATTTTAACAAGTAGTGTAAACTTTCTTAAATATTATCTTTAAAAACTACACACAGCACCATCTAGTTTCAAATTATGTAAAGCTGTTATTAGTAGAGTACTAGTTAATTGATAATTTTTTAACAATATAGCTGTAACTTCAACTGCTATTTATGAGATAATAGACAATATATGTCCTAGGTTCGTACAAGATATACATAACAATACAATACCCAGACCAATACAAATAGATATAATTACAAATAAAAAAGCTTATACAGCAGGGATTGAACCCGCGACCAAGACAACGTAAGCAAAAAAGGCTACTTGTTTGAATAGTATTTGTAATTAACTGTCTGTATTATACGGAAGACAATCTGTTCTATGACTAAAGGCGCGAAACATTTACACCATGGATTGCTGTTGTCTAAAAATAATTTGACGGAACCAGTAAAATAAATGTCATTTGTCACATTGTCGTAAAACAATTAATTATAGTAGCCATTAAGGTATTGTTAGCTTACAGAAATTAACATAATTAATAGAATATTTACCTTAATTGATATTGTGCAGCAACTTTTTCTCTGTGTTCGAAATCAGCTCCATTCGTCCCTGTCACCATAATACCACCGCGTGAAGCCATTTTATAACTTAATTCTACAACCAATTAACAGAAAATATACTTCTCAACTTCAAAAGATCACAATAAGACCATTTTTCAGATAATTCGTGTTTAAATTTTGTATATTATTTTAATTTCATTTTCAATAGATATGCCAAAACGAAAGATAGAAATGCCAAATATGCCAACGTTTCAAGGTCTATCTGTGTTCGTTCCATTACACGCATTACAACACAAACAGGTTAAAAAGAAAAAATGAACAGTGGTGTATTACAATATAAATTAATTAAACATTGTGCTACACTTTATTTAATCCGTTTTATTTTAGTTCTATAGATTACCTCTATTAGATTTAAAAACAATTTTATGAATAAAAATATTTGACAGTATCAATAACACTGCACCTAAAACGAAACATAAAATTGACATTCCAATTCAAGTTCGGATACGCATTACCATTAAAATACCAATTTTACGGAATAAATTCAAACATTTTCATTTTCTAACGAAAATATTTTTAAGATCTGATAATTAACTGATAAATATAGTCAACCTGAAAATTGTTGTAATTGAAAAATACAACAATTTTCGAATATTTAACTGAGCAGCTTGCAAATCTACTCTACTGACTGATCGTGCAAATGCAATGTAGGACGACCCCCAGTATATGTAGTAGTAGTAATATGAAATATTTTAGTAACTACTTATGTATATTTTTTAGTTTTTTATGGCATAGGGGCTAGTTTGCGGTAACACTAGGGTAATTACGCAAATGAGTTACCGGCCTTTTAAGAAAGGGAAGGAATTTGGCCAGGGACAGGATGGTGGAGGAGGGGCGATGGAGATCTAGAACGTCGAGTCACCATACGAATCACATAACACAGATAGAAGACGTCCATGACGTGTGGTATTTCCCCGTTTGAGCCCATTCGTTCTGAGCATACAGCGTGCTCTACATTTATGGTATAAATATATTTACTAATTCCTTTAAAATCATAGGAGATAATAGATTTTATATATTGTATTTTGCGATAATAAAGCGTCTGAATGATTAGTAAATCAATGCATTACAAACATTAGTTTTAATAAACATGTCTAATTGTACGTATATATGAATTTACATTACTTACTAAAGGTAGACTATTGATTAGTAAAGTCTCAGTCTTGCCTATTTCAGCCGCCAAGCAGCTTGCTTTGTAAATCGTCTTTCGGTTGTATTTGGCAGAATATCTGGTGAAAATACAGTATAAGAGGCATGACGTCTTAGTCTACGGAATGGAAACGTAAGAGTGGTGTCACATAATAAAGTGATGTCCGTAGTGCTGTTCATGTATAGAGGAGACGGTTACCGCTTACAATCAGGCAGGCCGTCTGCATGTTTGCCATTCATTTGGCGCCCTGCCAGCGTATAGCACTTGCGCAGTTTCACAATTCCACCTTCATCTACCATAAACAAATTCCATGACGTCACATCCTACTCACAAATCAGAAACATGCGATAAGATGTTAATTGTTCCATCATGTTTTATAAACATGGGTCGTTACTCAACGAAAAACAATAGTTATTTTAGATCCACACAGGTTATAAATGTAACTGCGTGGGTGACTGATTTAACTGTGACTTCTTGTGACGAGCGTGATGAAAGTTCTTGTGATCATCGGACTGATTGCCTTCGTGGCTTTACAGGTATTGACATGATGGCCTCACGCCTACTATACTTTTAAAGGTCGCGGGTTTGATTCTCGAACAAAGAAACGTACTAGTATGTAGATCAAATATTTTTTTTGATTGCGGGTTTGGGCTATTGTACGACCTGTAGCACTGCAACCTGCAGAGATCTATTGTGCTCGACCCTTTTTACAAAGTTTGCTACCTAGGTCCGCCAGGGACAAGAACTTGAGAATATTTTTAGAAGCGATGGTTTTTGTATCATGGCCAATTTTAGGTCAAGATGTTAGGAATTAGAATGGGTAAGAACTTTCGAGAACAGAGCTATGATGACTTCTACTGAAATACGATGGACGCTTTAAACCCCGTGGGTTATTTATTGTCGTTTATTGATGTCTACAGCTTACACACTCAGCACCGGTGCCGGATGAAGAGAAGAAAGAAGAACCAGCGCAGTCATCTGTTGCTGTAGTTCAGCAAACATTGTCTACCACAGTTGGAGAGGTCAGTTTTATTTATAACTAGCTGGACCCGCGACTTTCTCCGCGTAGAATTTAACTTTATTTTTCTAAAATATAAGTTGCCTAAATCACTACCTGCTAAAAAAATTCCCTTCAAAATCGGTCCAGCCATTTCAGAGATTAGCCGGAACAAACAGACAGACAGACAGAAATTGTAAAAACTGTTATTTTGGTGTATGTACTGTATTTATATTCATATGCATGTATTAAAAAACGGTTATTTCATTATTACAAACAGACACTCCAATTTTATTTATATTTATAGATGTACATTGGCCTCGGTAGTTTAGCGGTTTAGCACACTGCCTTACTTCCGATGGTCTTGGGTTCGATTCCTCGCACATTCATGAGTATGATTGTTTGTGTCAACACAAGCTATAAGTTTGACGCAGGTGAAACCGCCGGCACAGCTAGTTAGTAATAAGTAGTTTATCCGTGATCTTCATGCTTTTATACGACAGTACCACAGATTATTACATGGACCATCAGTATATCAGGTACATAATAAAAATATTCTTGATGTGATCTTAAAATTCCAGGTAAAAGAAGCTTCGAGAGATAATACAGCAGCCGTGGTCAGTACCGTCCCGCCGGCCGCACCAGAAGAAAAGAAAGCCTAGTATTATAAACTATGTGATCGTATAAAAATATATATGTATCCAATATAAGACACTTAACCAATTAACGATAAATATGTAAATCTCGGATTATGTGTCATTAGTAAAATAAATTTATAACAAAATGTTTAGTTTTTTTCTAAGATCCTCTTCACATTTGTACATACTACTTTGTATGTATCAGAATTTATATTGTTTTATGTATAAAGAAAGGCAAACAAACCTACAGGCCCATCTAATAGTGGCAACCCGTTATCGTCGTCTTGAGAATATCATATGATGGTAGTGATAGCTTTAAGGAGGACTAAGATGTTACCTGCGTACACTGTAATTTAACTGCCATATATCCAATATAAGATTGAAGAGAAAGACAGATTGAAGAGTTGAAGAGGAAACGCTGTTACACATCCTATGTGGTTGTCGTCCATGCATAAACGAAATATCTCCTTTGGAAATTGCGCACTTTATCCTGAGGATATAAAAACCATCGCTCCTAGTATTTTCATACGTTGGGTTTACATTATCGAACTTTTAGTCCCTAGTGTTTTTGAAAATATTCTATCGCTTAAGTTCATCAGGTGTAATGTAGGAGTTTAAATAAAGATTTTATCAACTATCCAAATCAGTAATTTCTTGGCCTCGAGTCCCAACGTGGTCCTTTGAGCCGGATATGAACCAGCGACATCAAGATTCAGTCGCTTTCACGTTATAATATTAGTTTTATATCTTCTATTAAATATGTAACACATGAATTAATTCAATCAATTTATTTCCACGTTTTAACAGTTATTGTGCAGTAAAGAACAGTATGTCTCTGACACTTGCTCTTGACGGAAGCTCCAGTGGTGTGAGCGTTACTGCGCCTGCACTGCCGACGCGGTACCTCGAGGTACACTCCGACCCTTGTATATATAATGTCACCTGAAAGAATAAGCTCTGCTAAAACATTCTATATTAACGGCCTCGATCGTCTAAGGGGTTCATTCCTCGCACGGTACAGACCTTTGTATTCATGAGTATGATTGTTGGCATCGGTCTGGGTGTTTTCTATATTATGTATGCATTTCCAAAAAAATATATCTAAGTAGTCATGTTGTCTAGTACGCATAACACAAGCTCTGCTAACCGTGGGTCTAGATGGCTCTGTGTTAATTGTCCATTTATTATTATTATTATAACCGTCAGTTCAGAGTGCTTTCGAGCAAAGAAAAACGGACTGAATAAAAAAAATAAAGCCTGAATAAGTAAAATATACCTGCGGCAAAGGACCATGTCGACTTGGCTCGTTAGACAGCGGCGCTGATCTAGCTTCCTTACGTCTCCTCTTGCAGTTGGAGCGCCTGCCTTCATGTCGTTTACGGCCAGCACACGATTCTATAACAAAACTATTGACTACATACATAAAGAATTAAATAGATAACCTTAATTACATGATTATAGTATCGAGAAACATTTTATAAATATTGCTCTGTACTTAAATAACAATAATCTCAGGACAATTCACACAGCGCCATCTAGATCCAAGTTAAGCTATTATGTGTTATGGGTACTAGGTAACGAACACAAATAAATAGACTTATTTTTTCGTAAATACATATATACTATACATAGAAAACACCCACACCGATACAAAAAATCATACTCATGAATACAAATGTTTGTGCTGTGCGAGGAATCGAACCCGCGACCGTCGGAAGTTCAGAAGTAAGGCGGTGTGCCATTTCGTTTATGCATGAGTGGGCTACAACTACTTACTTCTTACCATTAAGTGGTTATCAGTTTATTTATCATTGCAAGTACATACAAAAAAACTATTATTTTTACTAATGCCACAGATAACATAATATTACATACTAATGCTATAAACTACTACCTTCTGTCTCCTCCTGTGGCAGTGGAGGTGGTAGTGGGCGAGGTTGCAATGGAATTCGTGAAAACGCGGACCGCCGACCCTCTATCAATCTTACCAGACATTCCAGCGCTGTTTGTTTATTCTGAAATAAGAAATTTTATATTCACTTTAAATATAACAAAATCGTATAATCGTGACTAAATAAATACTGTTTATCTTTCAGTTCGTGTATTAATTAAAAAATAAAGCTATCTTTACTTTCGATGGCTGCAGATGTAACGTTTATGTACGACAATATTCTGGAACCTATTCCAGCAATAGTATAACCAAAACTTCCGACGTCTTCGACATCTACTTTATTACAAGTTACATTGATAATAATGTTGGTACCATGTCAGGTCGACCTCCATGTGGTCTCCCCTGGAAACCATCGTGATTAGCTACAGGTGAATTTGTCACAGTGGGCTAGCAGACTTGACCTCATGCTCATCATCTTCCTGATGCTGATGCTCTGCCTGCGTCCACCGTTAGCGCAGAAGGATGCAAATTCTATTATCATCCATGTATAATAATGCATTGTTATGCTACCCTCAATTAAATCTTGGAACTGATTTCCTAATAATTGTGTCGTATGTGGAATAGAATCCCAAACCATTGGAAGTAAGACAGTGTGCAAAACCGCTAGATCAGCGATCATATTTACATTAATTAGTAATTATAGTAAGTACCCTGATTTCATCCAACAGGGGATCAAACGCTGCAGGATCAGAGGAATCTTTGAGCGCTTCCCAGCTCTTGAATAGTTTGCGGTCAGAGGCACGGACAGTACTCTCTAGCTCGCGTATTTCTGTTGAGTGTGTATATATTATTACATTTTTGTTCCACAAGAACGTGTAGTTGAATTTCAAGAAAATATACATAATTACGGACGCCTGACCCTTCAAGCTCAGGAATCGCCTTGGTCATAATTGGCCGTGTCAAAAGGTTTACCACTCTATGACATATGTACATATAATACATACACACATACAAAAATACCATACTATCTACTATATACTATATACATAGTATAAAATAACTCCTGATATATAAATAAATAAGACGCCAAATAAGGCGATATATAAAATAAGTCACCACTACTGTCTTAGATCTTCTAAATTACGCAATCAATCAATATTTTTGTTTTGTGGCAATCTTATTAATATTATAAACGAGAAAGTTTGTAATTTTGGATGGAAAGATGATATTTTATACTATTTCACGCAATAACTACTTAATGGATTTTAATATAATATAAACTTTAAGATATTTATAATAATAGGTATAGAATATACATTAGAATAACACTATAAAAATTACGCAAGTGAAACCGCGGAATCAGCTGGTAGGTACATAAAATATGATGTTAAATTACAATTAGATCCGCATCAGACCGTAGCACAGTTTTCAGCAATATATTGATGCAAGCGGAAGGTTCATATGTAGATAATATACATATTATATATTATAGTGTAGAGAAGCCGAAAAACTCATAGGCCCAAATCACAAGTGCAAATAAATCAAACCTACCTGTCTCTCTCAAATGTGCTAAATGCGTGGTGAGGTGCTTTTTCTGCGCGTGCACTGCACGATGTTGCACGCGAGTTCTTGCTACAACATCACGTGCATTGCGCGCTTCAGCTGCTAGCGCGGCCACCTCACGAGCTTCTTGTTCTAAACGACGCTCCAACTCGCTGATCCATAGATATTCAATGTATTGTACGAAATTATTTATACAGTTACTACTGTCTCACCTATTTGTGCCGCAAAACAATGCGGACTTATGGAGCAGCTGAAGGCCAACTGAGGGCACAGCTAGGGGTTCGAACCTCGTCGTAATTTCCCTGGACGGGGATTTGATCGGAGGGGGTGTGTTATAATGTGTTTCCGAAAGAAGTGTTTTGTTTATGGTTAACCTACCATAGACAAAAGGCACTAGAAATATTACAAATTTACAATAATATATATTTATTAATAAAGCTGTTACAATATTTAGTAAGCTGTAATCTTTCTGGCATGTCACTTTAGTCCAAAGGAATTACAACAAAGGGTGGCCGTTAACTTTTCAGTGAAATAAAAATTATAACCAAAGTAAGAAATCGAACCTGGGATACTCTCCTGTGATCTTGGCATAAGACTGTATATTCCTTATTACTTCAACGAGATGGTGCAGCTGATCACAAAACACAGGCAACTGTTCCGGTGTTAAATATTGCCCGCTGTACCTTTGAAAACAGATTAAAAATGCTTATAAATATCGACTACGGCCAAGGTATGGGCTAGGCTATATTTTTGTTTACTTATTCTTTTTAGAAGGCGTATATAAATGAAATCATTTATACACACTATTAGCTTATACATATACATATATAGAGGAGTGGAAAATGCATATACTTACCTATATTTTTTAATTATGCATAAAAACATCACACCTACTACAATGTATTTGATATACTCGCCACATATACACATATATACATATATGTGTATAAATACACACGCCAATATACTCTTTTATTTATTGTTACACTCTTTCGTGAAATTTAGAATAAATTAATGTTGTTAGTCTTCAGTCTTATCATAGACAATATACTACTGAATGTTAAATTCATTATGGTCGAATTTCGACCACTAGTTATTATTCTGAATCAAGGCTAGAACCTTTGATCAATGTTGGCAGCAAATTGGTCATCGTCGACGGGTCCGTTTGAAACGCTTGCAGTACCCGGCTCCATATCCTCATCCACATTAGTCGTGCTACCACATTCGGTACTTTCGCTCATGCTGTGGGTTATATTAAATTTCTCAATGTGTATTTAAACTTGTAGAATACTAACCTTTTTTAGTATATTACTATATTAAATGCATTATGATGGTTATAAAACACGAGGTAGAAGGAGGTATCAGATATTCCAAACATCCATCATATATCAAACATACATCCTTCCATACTCACAAAATTTCTCTCAAAATCTTTAAAAAAGAAAATGACGGGAAAGCAACAGTGGGTCGGCAACGAGCATTTGACGCCCCTGGTGTTTCAGTCGTTCATAGGCTACAGTAACCGTTTACCAGACCAGATTGTTTATGAGATAGGCCGTATGCTCGCTCATCACCATAGATACAAAAAACTCCCAACAGGAGAACCGGAAATTACCACCAACAAAAAAATATACGAACTACCTATTTATAATATAATTATAGTTATCTTTAATTTCCGTTGTGATTTTTAATATATATATGTGCTTTGTTTCCTATGTTATCTATGTACTATATTCTACTTCAATTATAGGTATTAGGTGACATATAATTTCTGTATAAGCATTAACTACAGTAATACCTAACTGTTTTACTTACCCAGAGGAAGTAAACGAGATATTTTTATCTAGCGCTGAGTAACGATGATGCTCGCCGCGAAGCTTGCCGAGCAGTCGTCCGAGCAAGCGCGACTGTCGCCCTCCACCCTCCATTCTAGTCTCTCTATTATATGCACTATTTATTAACCCTACATACAATATACATATAAAACAAATTGATCGTTTTAATATGTAAGTATTATTATTGTGAATGTAATTAATTAGAAATAATTGCTAAGAACTGTGGATCAGATATATGAAATGCCATTTTTATAGTAGAAACCTAGGAACCGTTTATGAAAATGTACAAATGTTTTATGGCCATTGTGATTGTACAAAAATTTTGACAACAATGTCTGTTGTACTTCATTTTGATTGATCGATAAAAATAACGTCATATCAAAAAAAAAGTTTATTAATACGCTTACTTAGTCTAATTCGTGAATTTGCAAAAATGAGACCTAATGCACTGATAATATAAATGCTAAGAACTCATATTTTAAAATATAAGAAAGTACAAGATTTATATAAAAAAATTAATGCTTAACCATACGTGTGCTGATTATGACAATTCTTTTTTTATTGGGTACTATTGACTTGAAAATAAATGCTGCATTTATTTCAAGCAAAGTTTATGAAAAATGCAACGCAACCGACCGATCTTAAGTTACAAGTATATGATATCCACTAATACGAATTATAGAACTCATTTAGAATAATTCTGCATGAATCTCATGATTCAGTTGCATTGACAGCGTATGAAATATACTTGCATATCTAGCTTAGAATCTAAATAAAAAGCCACTACGACACAAGTAGGAATAGTCATATTTTCTTTATATTTACACATTACAATCCATACTAATATTGTTAATACCACAAATACGAAATTGTCAGACCTTATTACCCATTAATAACTAAACGGATCTTATGAAATTTAACGTGATTACATCATTACATTACATCCACGTCCGTCCACGCGGATGAAGTTGCAGGCACAACTAGTAAGAAATAAAACAATATAATAAAATGTAATGTATTTAATTTATATAAAAATACAATTATCAATATACATAATCGCATAATTGCCAGCGTAGGCATACAAATATTATCGATAATAAAAACAGACGGCAAAACATCAAATGCTAATAGAGAAACATTAAGTACAACATTCAATCCCAACAGGCACATCTCAGTCCAAACAGTACAAGTAAATAAATTCATTTCTAGTGTTACCAACACTCTTACTTGTAAAGCATTCCTATATTTAAGTTACTAATATAAAAAATGCTATGAACTCACATTTCAACATACTAAATATAAGAAAGTACATAATTTATATATAAAAAAAATTAAGACATTTTTGGCAGATATTAAAAGGTAGTATACCAATAAAATTGTGACGATATATCTATAATTAGTTGTTGGCAATTTGCCAGAATCTAGAATAAAGTAGGGTTAAAATAAAAAAAAAATACTACTTAAATTGTGGTGGTATAATACCGAGTTAAAAATAATAGTGTTACCCTATAAAGTAAATAAAACCTAGTTAAAAAGATACATTTGTTCAGTAAATAAAGAATTGCATTCTGCGAGGAATAGTTGACAACTTGTCATTAAGGGCTTAAGCGAAATCACTGCGAGAAAGGGCTTGGGACCAGCAAAGTCCGATGGCATAAACTAAACATCATTATCTACATTCAATAAACATCTAGCATTCAACAATAAAGACGAAGATCGTATTGGTGACGAAATCCTTACATGTATGAAATACCGTTATATAATAATACATGCACGTTTTATGTTACAGTACGTAGGTAGCAAGAAAATTTATACATGTTCTTAGTTTGTCACAAAAGCAGTTTGTCATAACGCAATTTTATAAAAAAAAATATTCAAACATTAGATTTTGACATAATTCGAATTTGGATGTCATGTTGTTTCGCTATTACGTACATAAGTATCATTATAATTTCGCACATTACAGAACTGCATAGTGACAAACTGGGTTTGTGACGAATCCCTTTTGTGACGAATATCGTTTATGTTCACGTTTTATGTAACCTACGCTATGTTATATGATATGATTAGATGATGTGATGTGTAATTTCAAGATAATGAGAGCTTCCTTCCTTACCCGAGCTAACTAAACTGTATTAAATATGATCTTTAGTCATTCCCGCACAAAATACCTCACGATCCCCAATAATTTTGTGACAAATTTGATGGTTCAGTCTCATGGGCCAGAGGAACCCTCTGAACTACAGATATTTCGTCACCATGTAGATTACGATACGAACTCTTGTGTGCAAATGATTGTGATTCATATTATACATAAATTAAAACTCAATTTGGAACTCCAGTATAAACGGAATAGATCGCGTTTAAAAAATTTTTTAAGGTATATGTGTTTAGAAATGGTTAAAATCACATGTATATGCATTTAAGTTTTAAAGTTGCATGCACAGTCAATAAAATTTATAGGTTTTATTTTAAATTAATGTCTGTATTTATTATTTTCATAATTATATTTTATGACAAAGCGATTTGAGACAATTATTTCGACTTCATTCTGAATGCACAAGTCTTTTTGAGGAAGAATTTATAATTATTAATTGATAATTAAACACCTATTTGTTACTGGCCAATTCTAATACAAATTACAATCTTTGCACATTCATAACAAAACACTAGCCTAATTTCAACTGGTCCCAGCGAGAATCTTAATTATGCCACGAAACTAAGCTTTATAGCAATATCCAGTCTTACCAGAGCCCTGATGAGAACCCACCAGGTGGAACGCGTACGCGTTTCGGGGCCTCAGCCTTGGCTGGCTCATTAAATATTGCCGGTTCCGGCTTGCTCTCAGTCTTGGTGGGTATTTCAACAATTGGCGCCTCCAGTTGAACTTCCGGAATAGACTCCACTCTTTCTTCTTTAGGTGACTCAGGAGTGTTTTGACCGTTGCGGGGCGGTGAAACTGTGCCATTCGTTGGCTTGGCTGGCTCGTCGACTGGAACTGTAATTATTTTATTAAGGCTTTGATTTAATATATGTATATTTCTTTTGTGTGTATAGAGAAGTTTGGGAAACACTGCTATAGACAGTAAATTTATAGTATGGTAAATCTGATAACCCGACACCCCGCTTGCATTTATAACGAACGCATCGATTTCAGGCGTGGCGTGGGTGTTGTTTTGCAACTTTGTGTTGCAATTTTAAGGTTATACATGAACATAAGCTTGGCCAATTGGAACTATTTCTATATGCCGTTTGTTATCGTTGTATTTTTACTCAGTTTTAATCATAATTATGTTTTAAATAAATGGATATTTCTATTTAGTACAGCGTTTTTATCGATAACTAGCGACCCCTGCAACTTCGTCTGTATCAAACTTACTTGACATTTATCATTATATTTCGCCCAATCTACATAATATCTTTCCGTATAAGCTATTGTAAAGTTTCATCAAAATCCGTTCAATAGTTTTTGCGTGAAAGACTAACAAACATCCATCCATTTATACTAACAAACTTTCGCGTTTATAATATTAGCCCTCCAAGACCACCTTTTTATTATGAATCTTTAAATATTGTACAAGTCCTATCAATGTTGATGCAATAATATGTTATAAAGAAATAAAAAGCGAAAATACATGTAGGGCAGTCTAGAATTATGTTAAAACAAATAATAAATTAGAATGCAAAATTAACAGCCGGGTACCATTATTGGTAAGATCTGAAATGTGTTTCTTTTAAATTTTTAATAATATTATTATTTTTAAACATTATATATAACATAATATAGACAATACAATAAAGACAATACAATTCTGTGCGTCGCGCAATCGCGTACATAAAGACTGCAAAACGATTTCTCGTGCAAACGAACTATTTACACACCTATATAATGGTGTATATTGCATATAAGGAATGAATAACTTAACATTCTTTACTTTCCGTATGCCTGAAGCAATGTAGCATACCCTTTTTCATATTACTGTATTACGAATACAGTCTGCCAGCCACAATTCACAGATTCTGCGAAGTGCTTGCATTTCATACGCTTTTCTTCAAGTAATTACACATTTACAACAACATTATTAATATTATTAACGCGATAGTAACTCTGTCTGTCTGCCTGTTGCGCTTTCACGCCAAAACTACTGAACATATTTAAATCAAATTTGGTACAAAGATAGTCTAAACCATGAGAAATAAAATAGGCTACTTTTTCATGCGAAAAATGATTGTAAGGGGGTTCAAAAAGGGCAGATAACAGATAACAAGGTTGTATTTCTATACGTAATTTTTAAACCTAGAAGATGAAACTTATTGTTTATGCTCTTGATTAAATATAAATAAATATGATATTCAGTTTGTAAAAAAAATAGGGGATAAAGGTTTGTATGGAAATTAGTAATTTTTAAAGCTAGAACGATGAAACTTTTTTCTTTGACATACAATTATTCATGTCCAGGAACGATTAACAATATAAATAATATATATGTAAAAGTGTTCATATTAAGTTTATACTTAGACTTATAGATTCTTTCTACTTTTTCTATTATTATCAATCTCAGACATTGTGGCAAGCTCACCCTCTATATGTGGTATTCAAAAACCTCAATGAGACTCTTCAAATATTTAGAACAACGCTGACAATTAAAATTCCCTGTCTACCCCATTAGATATTACAAGCGTGAGGATATATAATTACCAGCATTTATATTAGCATTTGAATTGGCATTTGCAATAGCAATGGCAGACGCCAGACGACGGCCGCGTGGGGGCTCCGGGTCTCCACCGAAGATATCGGTGTGTCCGCCACCAGGAGGGCGAAGCACCCTGCTTGATGATCGCGTGCCCTCAGTCAGACCGACGTTGAAAGGTGTTGAAGTCATTCTGTGTAGATCTGGAAATTATTAATGATAAAAACTTAACTTAAAATCTAATTATCTGTTAGGAAGTTCAGGAATTTACTTCAAATACCAAGTCGCTCTTTCGTAACTAATTATGAATATATACGTCCGTATCCGTCATACTCGTGAACGGGTGCTGCTTGTGGCGAGTGGTCTATTCTGGTTACGGCCATTGATAAGACTATTTCCTTTTAACAAAATTGCAATAGCATATGGTGGTGGTCACTCTTTTCTCCCTAATTTTTAATTTAATAATGAATCTGTAATATTGTAAAAATATATAAAGCACAAGAATAAGAGCCGAGTTCTTAGTTCGAATGCTCGCGCTCGAGTTTTTGACATATCATAAGGTTATAGACCGATATGAATAAATATATAATTGATTTAATAATAATTCTGAGCTGAGTTTCTTGCCAGTTTTTTTAGCTCGAATGCTCTCGGAACTGACGGTACTTTTTGATATATCATAATAGTCTGTAATAGACATACATGAATAAAGATAATTTGATTGATTTAATAATAGTAATTCTAAACTATTACCATTCTTAGTCCAGTCATAAAAAATAACAAAAACTTCTCCAACTTTCAAACAATTAACTATAATTTAATGCCACATTACAATTCGTTATAAGGCCACCGATTCAGGTTGTGATAAATGTAATTTGGTCGGTTGTATCGGTGAAAATAATTACTATATCGTTGTGACTTGAAACATATTGAGTTTTTTGGTCCGTCGGGCCCGCCTCAAAAAGTTTCCTAATTTCAGTTTTATTTTTCATCATTAAGTAAATTTATACTATACCTATATATGTATATACTATATATAACTTGCAGTAATTATATTTCCAATCGGTATAGCTATTATACGCGCTTATTGGAGATCAATAGGTTCTTCTTTTTTAATATGACTCAAATGACAATTAGTTTGTTGGCCCTTTATGGAAATCGTCAAGTTTTACATGAATAGCACAAATCACATCACTTCACCATGTGATGACTGTGGTACCGTCATGCCTTGCGAGTCCTAAGAACTAATGTCATGCCATTGTACCCAGTAATTACACTGTTATATCACTCACACCGAATAGTAACTTGGGATTTGGACTTCAACTTAAGACCGTATAGGGCCAAACACCGACATGACACGTATAAAATTAAAGTAAAAAAAAGTCAAAGAAAGTGATGAAAGTATGCACGTAGGCGACTGTAATGGATGCAATGCAACTGGACTTCACAGCTTCACCGGATGATAGAGAGCGAGTGCAAATAGCACTCAAAACCCGTGGAAGGGCTTAGGTCAGGATCGGCTGAACGCCAACTCCCGCCTGACGGATACATTTGTCTGAGGGCACCGCTTTTCGATCCCCGTATCATTTGGACGGGAGATCGACATATACATATATGCTCAATTTTCCGTACTTAAGATTTGGGTGAATTAATGATATTTTTTTAATTAAGCAATTCAATCTCAGGACAATAGACGATACTATTTTCTAGAATACTATACATAAATTGGCCTATATATAAACGTCGAACTTAGCCATTATCGGTCAAGTGTGTATGTACTTCCACAACAGTTATATACAAACTGGCATATTTAAACAAACCTAATGAACTATGGTATAAAGACTAATATTAAATGGCATACAAGAAAACTAATTATAATAATATTGTGCGCACATCCTCCGTCTGATATGGAATAATAAATGTACAGTGCATTGTTTTCACTACAGAACAATTTTTATGTTTGTATACCTACAAATTATCTTATATATAAAATTCTCCTGTCACAGTTTTCGTTCCCATACTCCGCCGAAACGGCTTGACCGATTCTTTTTTTGATTCCGAAATTTTGTAAGCGTATTGAGTAGGTCTGAGAATCGGCCAACATCTATTTTTCATCCCCCTAAATGTTAGACAAATTTTTTAGTTTCTATTTTTTTATGATACCACATACAAAAATACATACAATCCTAAATTTTCACCCTTCTGTCATCAACCCCTATTTTTTATAGAGTTATTAATTTATATGGCAAAACAACGTTTGCCGGGACAGCTAGTAATATATAAAATACCTACCCAACAGTGGGGTGCTTTGAACGAGTACTGACCCCATTGCTAGCAATGTGTCACGTCCGGTCGATATCAACACACTCACAGGTATTTCCTGATAAAATTCCCTCAAGGGGCTGACTTGATACTCATCCTATAATCCTGCACGGGTACCTCGTTAGCGTATACTGATAGTGCAGAAAGTCACACATTATGTGATATCGTCGGTACACATTTAAAAAATACACTTCACACACAGTATTATGCTTTTCTCATTACATTTTCCAACTTGAACGAGTTGATAGTGAAAAAAAAATACCTGCATACAAGGTTAAAAATTATATGTCCTACATGAGTGTATGATTTTCGAGCCTGTACAAATAAAATGGGAAAAAAACATTATACGTAGAGTAATTAGTCTCTTAACGCATTTCATCGTAACTTACTATGGCCATCAGGGTCCATAATGCTGTTATAATAATACAGATGTATACAAATAAATAAAATTGAAGTTTGTATTTTAAAATTAGCATTTTACTAAATGTTGTGAGCTATTTTTTATAATATTATATTATATATTATATGTATATTTTTTATAATATTATATTGTTTATATATGACATAAGCCATTACAGTATTTTACGACCATACTGGTGCTGTTTTCTTTTGCTCGTTGTCTTGATCTCCATCCTTCACACTAAAGCTACATGAAAGTATATACGGTACTTGCAATAAAAAAATTGTCTGTCTGTTTGTTCTTGCTAATCTCTGAAACAGCTGGACCGATTTCGACAGGACTTTCATTCGCAGATAGCTAATGTTATAAGGAATAACTTACGACTACTTTAGAAATTTTATTTATTACAATAAGAAAATGGACCACGCGGTCCAAGTCGCGGTAACAACTAGTTACAATATCACTCACTGTATCTTAACAATTCGATGCGGATGAGTTTCCTGTTCAGTTGAACTTAATTAGTATTGAATCGTAATGGAATACAATGAAGCGTGGGTGATTAATTTCTAAACGTTATTTTCTATAGCGGAAAGTCTATAAAGTGGTTAACAAACAATGGTCCGCCACATCAAACAGTATTCAATAAACTCGTCATTCATATTCAATAAACAATCCTATAAACTGACGTGATTCGCATTTATATTAACGCAACTTGTGAGTTAAGTATATCTATTTAGTAAAAAGTAATATAGAAAGACAATTATTCAAAAGAGTGTCACGCAAGTTTCTTTTGTGATGAGACACGTTCAGAATGAGCGGTAGATTAAAAAAAATTAACTGCAACCATTAAAAATTTAAGTTTATTTGAATAAACGATTTCTATTATATACCAATTGCTATTCTAATTTCTTGTAGTTCAAACTAGACTTTGACTGTACTTTTTTATCGAGGTCTTTGTACAGTCAACTGCGTGGGCACCTCTGTCTCGCCTATTTATTATATTCAGCCTAGCAACTTGAGCAACCGAGATATGATATGGAGGGTGATACCTTAGTCCTCTGCATGCATAAGGGGCCACACCAACCCATAGCGTCACTATGTCATGAAGGAAAATAAATTTTCAAGGCGCTTTATCTACAATCGTGTCTATTTATCAGTCGAGAATTTGCATTTAGGGACTCTATAACTCATTCCACGGGTTTGGAATGCCCTCTCCACTCGCCCCCTTTATCATTAGGTGAAGTTGTAAACACCAGGTCAATAGCATTATAATAGTTAAAAAAAGAGGAGTTAAACGTACAAAATGTTTACATAGTACAAAATGAAATCGACTTCATTTGCTCATACATTTTAAACTAGCTGTGCCCGCGGTTTCATCCGCGTTAAATTTCAATATAAAATATAGTCTATATGTTATTGTGATTCATAAGCTATATTACTGTAAAGTTTCATCAAAATCCGTTCAGTAGTTTTTGTGTGAAAGAGTAACATACATCCATAGTCACAAACTTTCGCGTTTATCTTATTATTAAGATTAAGATTACGCAAGGGATGGTAATGCAGTTTTTATCAAAAGATAGAGGAATTCAAGGGGAAGGTTTATATGTATAATACATATAAACTATAAAACCAAGTGAAGAATTTCAAAGACTTGTAATGCATCCATGCGCAGCCAGGACGGGTCGATAGTGTGTACTAAAACAATGTTGTAACTAGCTTTCTAATTTTCATCTCATTACGGAATCTTTTAACAGGATAGGTAACGCTTGTTTACGCAAACTAGTTGTTAACTGGTCGTGATAAGCATTAATTAACAATATATGATTTGCGGGCTACTGTTTCTGTTTTGGAAAATGTTTAATAAAGAGTACATTTATTACCAAGCAAGAAATAAGATTAATGTCATTCAGAAACAAAGAAATCAGATTTATTTCAATTTTGAGGTTTTCAATCTAAATTATCTGTAAAAAAATTCAGTTCAATATCTGCTTTAAGGAAAGTTGTAGTTTTATGATTCCACTACTAGCTTTTGGCCATGGCTTTAGGTTAGGGATGATTAAAAAATAATAACGAACAAACAATAATACCAACATAAAATAATACTATCAAAACGCTACTGAATTGGTTAATAAACATATATTTAACAATATATTTAGAGTCCAACTCAAGTGAATTCAAGCCATACCGCGCTTTACTAGATCAAGGCTCACAAGCTTGCTTCGTCACAGAGGAAGCTGTTCAATCATTGAAACTACATGAAATTCTAATTCGAATCCTATTTCAGGTTTAGGTAACTATAATACGTTAAGGGCTACTCATATGGTGAAATCTACTATACAGTCAAGCATTGACCATAACTTTAAATTGGAAATAAGCTTATGTTTTGGATAATATTACGTCGTATCTACCTGAAAGAGAAGTTGACATGTTAGAATGGATAAACGTTCAAGATTTAACTTTAGCAGACGCTCAATTCACAACTCC